TTTTTTTTTTTTCTTTTGAGACAGGGTCTTGCTATGCAGCTCAGGTTGGCCTTGGGCTCACTTTTTAGCCCAGGCTGGTCTCAAACTTACAATGATTCTCCTGCCTCAGCCTCCCAAGTACTTGGATTACAGGCATGTGCCACCACTCCTGGCACTCCTGTTTTTGCTATACTTATTATTACTGTACTGACCCAGGTCCTGGTCTACCAGAGGTACCTTGAGTACAGGTGCCAGGAAGATGGAGAAGCCTGTCAGAATGAACACCACTAGGCCTGTCAGCCTCTGTTCCCTGTGGGGAGAAGGAAGAATGAGGTGGAGTCCGGAAGAACCCTGGGAGCTCAAGTTGGAGTACCTGACTAGATACCAGTATAGACCATGGCAGCTGAAAGGAAGTGGAAGGATTCTCAATAGGTTACCTGGCAAGGAGACGGCCTTAGCTTCTTATTTAAAAAAGATTAGTGGACAGCAAGGGGCAGAGCACTTCACATGAGGGTCCCAGGCCTCTCTTTCAGTTCAATTTCATAGTCATTCTTTGTTTTTATTTTGATGGAAATTTTGTAATTTTATACTGTGGTAAAGATATATCATAATCTACAAACTTTATTTGATATACATTAGACAGCAAACTGTGTTTCAGGATTTCTAATACTGGATTCCTTTGTAACATCAACCATATGCTTTTGCACAGAGTTGCACAGAGTTGGTGGCAGCTTATCTTCCACTTCAGGCTTGGCTGCCTTCACCCTTGCATAGGTGATGCTCAGGTTATTCTGCCATGTCCCCCATGTCCCCCTTATTGCCCACCCCTCACTCAAGTCTCGTGAATAGTGTCCTCACCTGATGCCCAGGAAACTGGGGGCCTCCCCAGGGGCACACACTCTGCTTTCTCTCCGAAGACTGTCCATGTGGGCCAGGGAGATGACTGTGGCTGAGACGTACCAGGGCAGCCCAAGTGCTGATGTGAGCAGAATCAGCACTGCCACACAGAAGAGGTCCAAATGGAAGCCAGCTCCTTTCTGCAAGGGCAGGAGCACACAGAAGGAGGTAGTAGACAAAGATGGAACTATCCTGGCCCTCAGTCCTCTGACCTCTTGGTGAAGCAGGGAAAAGCCTGGACACCACCTGGAGCTGTCCTTTGGTCTAGGCTGGCCTTACCCAGATCTTACCTGCAGCTTATATTCTGCACGGTTGAGGATGACTGCTGTGATCTGCTGGTCCATGAAGATGAGGATAGTCAGCAGCAGGGCAGGCAGGGCAGCTGCCACACTCAACCACCAGGGGTTGGCTCCAAAAGGTGATACCAGCCAGCCACGCCCAGGGAGTGTGGGCTGGAGGAGGGGATGCCACAGACAGATTGGACAGGGTCTCCCAAGAACACTTCACCTGCACACCCCTGCCTTGTATCTTCCGCAGCCTGATTCCCTCACCAAGACACAGGATGTGAGGCTGCTAGGTAGAAGTGTGCCGGTGTGTGTGTATACGTGCACACGTGTGTGTGTGTGTGTGTGTGTGCGCGTGTGTACGTGCACAGCTGGTTCAGAATATCCAAACACCTAAAGAGGGCCAAGGAAGGCAGAGTACCCTGGCTCTTGATCTACACAAAGACTCTAAGACTGGTTTTCAGGGCCCCTCCTTCCCTGGAAGAAGAACTGATGGCGAAGGCCTGCCCACACTTCTTGATAGGGTATATAGAGCCTTCCTCCTTAGGCATCACCCTCCCATCCAGGGTGTGACAAAGCAAGCTTAGACCTGCCTTGATCTGCAGGGAAGGGGCAGCACTGGGTGTGTCTGCGTCTGCTGTAATTACAGGCGTCTGTGTGTGGGAGGGGGCCCTGGTTGCTGCTTGGGGTTCTGGTTCCAGAGGCCACTCCAAATGAAGTTCCCATGCTCTCTTATCTCAAGAGAAGCTCAGGAAAGCTCTCCAAAGGATGCAGGCAAAGTCCAGAAATTGGTACAAAGCTTTGTCTTCCTCACCATCATGCTCTGGAGAGGGATTTCCAGTTTTACTAGATTAGAGCAGGCAATGAGGGGGTACCATGTAGAGTGGGGAGTAGTAGAGTAGGCAGGGCCATACTAAGGGTGGGGAGAACCCATAACAACAATGACTAACATTTACTGAGGAATTGGTATGTGCCTGGCACAGTGATAAGTGTTTCATACTATGATCCTCTGTAAACCTCAAAATAACCTGTGGGGTAGAAACTGTTGTTATTTATTATTTCCATTTTATAAATTAAAAACTTGAGGCTCAGAAATGTGTAATAACTAGCTTAATATACCTAGACAGATGTGGCAGAACTGGATGTGGCCCAAGCCTGCTGACCAGAACCCATCCTCCTAATCATTACCCTATAATAATAGCTGCTATAAGGGCCGGGGGATAGCAGCATAAGCACCTGCCTAGCAAGTGCAAGGTCCTGAGTTCAATTCCTGGTTCTGAAAAAAAAAAATCTACTGTGTCTAATATTCTTCTATTCTATCAAAAAATGTGATCAAAAAATGTGGTGAGCCAGGCATGGTGGTGCAAGCCTGTAATCCCAGCACTCAGGAGGATCATTATGAATTTGAGGCCTACATGGGCTACAAAGTGAGCTCAAGGCCAGCCTGAACTGCATAGCAAGACTCTGTCTCCAAAAGAGAAAAGAAAAAGAAAAAAAAAGTGCAGTGAATGTTTAGAAATTGTCTAAAATTGATTATAGTGAAAGATATATTGCCATTAATCTCATTCAAAATACTCCCTCTTGCATCAAATACTCATCCCATCATTTTTGCTACTTTTTATCTTCTTTCTTTTCTTTTATGTTATTTTTTTCTGTGCTGGGGATGAAACCAGGGCCTTTGCATTGCACTAAGCTCTACCCCCCAGCAACCCCCAAAACACACCCCTTTTCCATTTCTGAGACAGGGTCTTGCTCAATTGCTAATCTGCTCAGGCTGGGTTTGAACTTGCAGTTCTCCTCCCTCAGCCTCCCAGCATGTAGGGATTACAGTTCTGCATTACCAGTCCAGCCCAGCTATTCTTACCACTTTCTGAAGAAGCTCTGGAAGTCCTTCATGAGAATCTTTACACAGTTGCACTGTCATGGTTGCCTTGATGTCCTGAATCAACTCAAAACTTTCACCTTTCAGGGTCATTTTGAATTTGGGGAAGAGCTACAAGTTGCACAGTGGTTGCCAGATCCAGGGAATAAGATAGATGAGTACACATTGTATTGTTTTTATAAGCCTGCCTGTCTGTTGAATGGCACTTGGCAGCCAGATTCATCATATTTTAGATCACACTTCATAAAGACACTAGGAAAGAGGACTTCAAGAACTGCTTCAGAAAGTAGCAATAATGACAAGAAGGTAGCACAGGTAAGTGGGAATACTTTGAGGAAAATTAATAGCAATGTGTTTTTTATTTTATTTATTCATTATTTTTTTTTTGGGGGGGGGACTGGGGATTGAACTCAGGCCCTTGTGCTTGCCAGGGAAGTGCTTATTCTACTGAGCCATCTCCCCGGCCCCAAGCAATGTGTTTTTTACTGTAATAAATATTTAAACATTCACCAGATATTTTGGTCACATCTTCATGTATCTTTACTGCAGTACCTCATGTAATCTTATGAGACTATTATTACTACTATTGCCTTTTTTTATGCATTTGGTACAGGGTCTCCCTACACAGGTTGGACTCATCATGATACTGTTTCAGCCTCCCCAGTGCTATGATTACAGGCATGCACCACCATGCCTGGTTTTGGTGGCCAGTTCAGCACACCTGGCATAGCATCTAGTGCCAGAAATTGAACCTGGGTACCTGCACTTGCCAAACAGGCACTTAGACCACTGAGCTATCTCCCTAGTACTTTTTGTCTTTTTTTTTTTAGACAGGGTCTCACTATGCAGTTCAAGCTGGCCTTGAACTCACTTTGTAGCCCAGGTTGGTCTCAAACTGGCAACCATCTTTCTGCTTCCGCCTCCCTGGGATTGGAGGGCGTACTACCACACTCAGCTCTACTATTGCCATTTTAAGAGTGAAAAAAGCAGCTCACAGGAAAAAAATCCTACACCTCCCTCGACCAAGGTCTGTTGGTCTTTCCCTCCCCATCTCACCAGCTTTCACCTTGAACTCTGTAGGCACCGTGAGCTTCGGTGTAGCTAGGCCCAGGAATGCATCAAGGCCACAGCCCAGCAGAATGGCCAAAACTGAGGAGAAGTCGCTGAGCACCTTCCGCACCTGGCCACATGGTGGAAACTCAGTTAGGTTTGGGCCTACCATCCCCTTCCTCCCATACCGCTGAGCTCAAGTCCAAGAATTGGCCTCTCCCACAGAAGGAAGGGTGACACTCACCACAGAGGGGAAGAAGGAACTTGTCTTTACATGCTTGAAGGCCGTAGCAAAGAAGAAGGAGGTAAGGAAGAGCAGAAGGGAGAAGAAGGCAATGTCTGGGACTGTGTGACAGCCAGGGCCACGAGGTTGGCCTCCCTGTTGGGTGCACTCAGATGGAGGCAGCAAAGATGCATTGACCAGGCCTAGGTCCTGTGTAAGGGATGGTCAAAGATGGGTTTGTGGCATATGAGTAGGGCCAGGGGAGTAAGCAAAACAAGAGGGACCCACAGAAATATCAAGGTCCCATTCTCTTTGACCACAGGAAATAAGTGACCCTCAATGACCTTAAGAGGGCTGAGGAGATAGTTCAATAAAATAAGCGCTTGCTTGGCAAGCACAAGATCCTGAGTTCATCCCTGGTACCACAGGGGGGAAAAATGATCTCATGAATGTTTCCCTAGCCAATGGGGTAGGAAGAAATAGGAACCACTAACTGCTTTAGCTGTTACCCTTTCTTTTCCAGGCCCTGTCAGGAGCAAGCCCTCACCATGCTTAAGATGTCATCTCTGTTCTTTTGCTTTGTTGTTGCCCATTGAGACTCATTTCCTGAGAAACAAAGAATAATTCAAGTACATTTCCAATCCTCTCAAAATTTTCTCCAACCCCAAAGGATTCTATAACTTTTTTTTTGAGACAGGGTCTCATTTTACAGTTCAGGATGGCATGAACTCACTATGTAGCCCAGGCTGGCCTCAAACCCATAATCCTCTTGCCTCAGCCCTCTAAGTCCTGGGGTAACAAGCATGTGCCCCATGCCCCTCTCCTCATAGTCTAATCTGATGAATGTAGCTAAACCAGAGTTTTTCGTTCTGACTCTTCTGTCTGCTCATGCCCCAGCAGCCCCGGCCTCACGAGTACTCCTCAAGTCACTGCTTGCACACTTAACCCCTCAAATTCCCTACTCATCTATATCCCTGGTGCTAAGCACAGGGCACAGCAGTTGCTCTGCAAACGTTGAGAGGATATCTGTGCTGTTTACAAATCTGCGTTTCTACCAGAGGAAAAACTGGTCTTATTCATGCCTAGCACAGAGTCTGGCATAAGTTTGAAAATTCTTTCCCGGTCATGGTGAGGCCTTCTCTGTGGAGGGATGGATGCAGTGTAATGCCCCAAGCTCTTCTCTCTCTCTCTCTCTCTCTCTCTCTCTCTCTCTTCTTTTCTTTTTTTTTTTTTTTTTTTTTTTTGTATTTTAGGGAAGGGTCTACAGGGTGTTCAGGGTCTCACTACTAGATCAGACTCACAGTGATTCTCCTGCTTACAGCCTCCCAAGTGCTGGGATTCGGGTGTGCACCACCACACCCAGTCTCAATCACCCTCTCAGTGCGCCCCAGGGGCACAGCCAACACACCAGGCCCAGGAATTGAATCCCTGGCCCCTGCGCCTGCTTGCAGGCACTTTAATCCACTGAGCTATTTGGCCTGCCCTTCTCTTTCTTTTTTCTTTTTTGTATTTTTGAGACAAGGTCTTGCTATCCAACTCAGGCTGGCCTCATTGTGTAGCCCAGGCTCATCTGAACTTGCAATGATTCTCTTGCCTCAGTCTCCCAAGTGCTAGGATTATAGGTGTGTACCACCATGCCCAGCATCCAAGCCTCTCTTTACCTGGTCAGTTACTCATCCATTCTCAAATCATTCCACCTGATTTATTTGATTGGCAGGTTTAGGGGAGGAAATTGAGCACATGTGGCTCTGCCCCTTCCTCTCTCCCTTTTCCGAAGTAAGCTGCCTGTTTGGTACATGTTGTTATATCTGCTCCTCTAAGACAGGACGTCCCTGTCCAGTGCTGCATGGCTGGGTGGGTAAGTCTAATAGCCTATTCACCTATACATGTAATCTATGTTCTTCTATTAGTGTTGCCAAAAATAAAGACAATATTGGGCTTTCTGGTGTCTTATTTTTCAGAGTAGGAAAGTATGCTGTTGGATAAGTATTTACTAAACTTAACCAGGAGGAACCCCTCCCACAACTTCCTTCACCTTCCCTCACCCACCTTGTGGGTCTGGGTATTGACAGAAGCAACCGTAGCCAGGGAACCCAGGTCTTTGGATGGGATAGGCATGGGTCAAATTCACCATTTTGCCCAGGGCATCATAGATGAAGATGAAACTGATGAGGGCACAGAAACCTTCCTCCGTGAAGCGGGTGAAGTAGCGCACCAACACACTGGCCTCTGTGGCCACCAGCACCAGGCAAAAGGTGGCCACCCAGATGCCCACCCACAGGCGGAAGGGCAAGTAGTCCAGGTTGTGATCTCTGTGAGGGTGAGAGCCAGCAAGGGGTGTCTTCTCTCCACCTAACTCAGGGTAGATAGCCCCAAGCCAGAGACTGTTCCCACCGTTCCCAGTGGACCCAGTCAGGACCAGGGTGAGGGTGTGACTAGGGAGGGCTTGGAGATGAAGGAGCTTTCCTACCTGCTGAAAGAGAAAAGCAGGCGCTCAAAGACCAGCACTGGCCCAGTGCTGCTGAGGATGGTGAGCGGCTGGCCTGCCAGCAGGCAGAAGGCAGCTCCAGCCACCGCAGTTCCCAGGAAACTTTCCAGCACTCCCTAGAAACCAACAGGACCTTGGTATCCTCAGCTCAGAATCCAAGCTTCGGGAATCCTCCTCAGCCCATCCACAGTCTTAGTTCTACAGATGTGACACCAAAGCTGTGTCAGCCTCCCTCACGCAAAGCCACCCACCTGGGCACCATCAGTGGCATCTCCCAGCAGACCCCCAAAAGTAATGGCGTTGGTGACAGTAGCCAGGTAAATGTAGAGCACTGCTGAGAAGCACTGAGGGTGCAGGGCGTCCAAGAAATCGGTAGTGTACCACGAAGCTTTCCGGTTCACATCCTGGACAAGACCCCCAAACAGCCTCCCGCCCATGGGTTGTCAGTAATCCAGGTTCCCACACTCCATGCCCCGCCCCGCGACTTTCCATGCTGAGCCTCACCCCAGGGAGCACACGCTTGGGTCCCCAAGACACCCTCTTCCCCAGTGGGTTCCCCCAACCCTTGCTTGTACACTGCTCGCCTCACCGACCGGTCCGCTGCAACTCCGGACAGGGCACTTGGGGCCCAGGGCCACGTCTATCCTCTGCCCCGGCCATGCGCCGGGTGGAAAAGCCCTCCACCTCCCGCTTTCGCGAGAGTGACCTGAGGAGTAGGGGAACACCAGGTTGGCTGGGCCAGTCACGTGGCCCAGAGATGGTGGCGCCCTGCCCCCTGGCGGTTGCTGCATCTGTGGCAGCGGGATTAGAATAACCATCTCCACTGAAAGGAAGCAAAGCGCAAGAGTCCAGGTCAGATTGCACCCCAGGAAGGCCATGGTGGATGAGGAAGGTTATTTAGGCCTTATTAAGTGAGAGAGTGGTAGAGCAGAACTGATTAAGTCTGCATGACTCCAAATCGAAAGCTAGAACTCACCCCCTCTGCTACAGTGGCGCTAGAGGCTCTAGATTCACCGCCTGTGGGGAATGAAGGCCTCCGGGTACCTTTTGTGCTGAGAGGACAGGCATTTGGGTGGGAGAATCCGGGCTGTTGGGTCCCACCGACCTGGGGGGAGCACTGTCACCTCCTCTAGGAAGGCATCCAGGGCTGCCAGAAGGTCATGAAGGTTACTAGCCCGACGAACTGACCACTGGAACTGCTGTTTAAAAGCACACAATGGGGGCAGGGAGATAGTTCAGTGGAATAAGTGCTTGCCTGGCAAGCGCAAGGTCCTGGCAAGCGCAAGGTCCTGAGTTCAATCCCTGGTACCACCAAAAAAAAAAGCACACAATGGGCAGAAAATGCAGATTTGAACTCTTGAATGCATTTTCATTTGTGTATTTCTCAAAAGCAGACACACACACATTACATAGGTGGACGAGTCACTCATTCATTTATGCATGCATGTACGTATTCATCCATTCAGTGATTATTGAATGCCTACTGTGTGCCAGCACTAGGCTAGTAATGGGGCTACGCTGGTAGCCATGGAAACTTCAGTCCCCATGCTACAGACACAAAGCAACACTCTACCTCATTGTATTTAGTCATACAGGAAGAGTAAGCACTCATGCTGAGTCACACAAATCTATATGCACACACACATGCACACCTGCCCAGCTCACCGGGTCACTGAGGAGGACAGCGGCTGCTCGACCCATCTCATGATAGCCCCTTCCCGGCATGGCAGGGCCCAGAAGCAGGCAGAAAAACCTGAAGAAGGAACTGGGCATGAGAGAGGTTCGGAGGCTGCTTTCCTATAGGCAATCCTGCCTACGGGCACTCAGCTTTGACCTCCCTGTAAGCCCCACACAACACTCATGTGCACACCTGCTCCGCAGTCCCCCACTCTGTTCCTCACCCCACACACATAACCACAGAGAACTATGTTCCGAAAATGCACGAGCAGAATCCTCCCCAGTAATGGCTTTTCTGTGGAGCTGTAAGACGGTGCTGCTACACAATAGCCTCACCTGCTGGGGAGGGGCACCTCAGTGAGCGTCCCCAACACCACCGGATCCCGCAGTCGCACAAAGGCCCCCAGTGGCTGAGGCAGGAAGCCCAGCTCTCCTGCCAGCACAGTGGCTACCTCAGCCTCTGGAGGCAGCTTCTGTCTCAGAGGATTCTGATGCTGGGTGGCACAGAATAGAAGAGGTTACTTGGGGAGGGGGGAGATGGGTTTCTATCATTCCTTACCCCCCCCCCAAACCCTGCTCAAGCAAAAGCCACAAACCTGTTCCTTCAGAGGCACATTTTCATTGTGAGGTACCTTTTTTGGAGGAGTAGATCCTACAAAACAGGGTTATGCAGGGTTAAAAGAACAGGCTTTGGGATTAGGTCTACCAGGGCTTCCCAGTCAGCTTTTCCACTGACAAGATGTGAGAACAGGAGCACACTCTGAGCCTGTTTTTCAGCACTAGCATGAGAATTGTGATTTTACCTTATAGGGTGACTGTGGAAAGTTCATGAGATACTGTATGTAAAGCTCCTGGTACAATGCCCACCAAGTATATTCCTTCACAGGCTAATTAAAAAGTATAAGATATTTATTTATTTATTTGGTTGGTTTGAGACGGGGTCTCATTGTAGTTTGGAGTGGCCTTGAACTCACTCACTATGTAGTCCAGGCTGGCCTCTAAAGGCAGTGCTCCTGCCTCAGCCAAGACACTGGGATTACAGGTTACAGGTGTGTACTACCATGCCCAGCTGAACAGTCTACGATTTTTTTAAAGTATTAAATTGATGCCATGCCCATTCCTTCCCCACCACCACTACCACAAGTTTTCACTTGCCCATAAATCCTAAGTTGAAGTCTGAGGCAACCCTAGGCCACTCCTGGCCACTCCAGGAAGATATAAGGAATATCTGAGGTCCTCCCACCCCAAAACATTGATCCTGGGCCCAAAGAGGGGCCTCTCACCCCAGCAGGGCCAGGTCCTGGTCTGGATGTGATGCTGGGGTCTTTGCAACAGCAAAGCCTGCAGCTGCCCTCTCAGCTCTGGACTCAATGACTCCACTCTGATTACCTGCTCTGGAAAAGAGATGTGGGGCTGGAAATTTTCTTGAAAGTTCCCTAACCCCATTTCCCAATCCCTACCCTCTTGTACAGCCCCCTTTCCATTCTAGGAATCTCAAGGAAAACAAGGACTGATAATTGCCCTCTGCTTTGCTTTTCCACTTCCACTCTGTTACAAAGATAGGCAATCCTCAGGGTGGGGTAGCATGGGCGAGGCTATGGAAGATTCCAACACTCAGGAAAATTCCAAGGAAATGGCATGTCTATCGAGGGCCCCCCTGCAAAAGCTCCCATCCTACCCACAAGCTCCAGAAGGTTCCGAGCTGGACAGTCCAGCAGTACGAGGCCCTTGACCAGCAGGCTGCGGAGATGCTGAAGGCTGGGAAGTGCCAGGGTTGGCACATGGGGAGCACTCCACCGCCCTGCATCCACCTCCAACTTCTCCTCAAACAGCATCCACCTGTGATGGATGGAAGGAGACAGACAATGTTATTGGGGACATCTCTTCCATATCCAGGAGCAGGTACATGGGAGCCAAGGAAAGTAGAACAATGGGGAAGTCCTGGGCCCAGTGGTACAGAGTATGCTGCTCAATGGGCTGTCAGCCCTCATTTTAGGTCTTGAAGATCTCAAACTAGACTACCAAAGGTGCTGAGTATCGGGGAATGTAGAAGATGGAGAGGACAAGCCCTGATTCAGAGTGGGAAGGAGCTCTGTAAAAGGTGCTGGGGATCATGGAGAAGGCCCCAGCTGGAGGAGAAGGAGGGCCACAGAACTAGCCTGGGCCCCACTCACCTGCCCGTCTCTCTCCACTCCAGTGCCTCGGGCCAGCCCAGCAGCTCATTCAGCTGAATGAAGAGTGGAGGGTCTGTGCATACCCCCAGTTCTCTGCTGTCTGTCTCTGAAGAGCTGCCAGGGCTGTGGCTAGGGCCATGGTCACTCTCCAGCTCCCCTGCAGAAACATTTTCATGAGCACTGGAAGCTTCATATTCCTCTTGGCCTTGTAATTTCATCTTGGTGAGGCTTGCAAAGAATCTCAGGAGCAGTGCAATACCTGAGGCTCTCTGGCTAGCTGTATTTATAATGCACCTCCCCCCTCCCAGCCCAGCACAACACAAACAGCCAAGCCTGTTGGCTCCAGAGCATATTGGCTCACTTCCCATGTTTGTCAGGCTAGCATGGCATTTCACAGGCTTTCTAGAAATGCCCAACTTGGGGCCAAGTCATGCATGTGCATTTCCTGTGGGATCAGGTCTGAACCCATTGTGTTTTGTGTAAATAAGCAGGAATAGATGGGCAGCCTAGTTTGAGTACTGACACCCCAAATTATGCTGTCCCCTAGCCTGTATCAAATACAAATACTAAATATCCAAAACTGTTTTAGGTGTCAACAACATACCCTGGGGGACAGACATAACCCTTGGACAAACAGAGACCTAAGTAATCAGCTCTATAGAAACTAGGCAGGATAAGGGAGACAGCAAGTAGAGACCTTGTCTAGCACATAGGCTAATGGTGGAACGTGGAGGCAGGTTATGAAGAATACAATGCCAATGTCTTTTTTTTGGTTTTGTTTTGTGGAATCAGGCATTGAACTCAGGTCCTTGTGCTTGCCAGGCAAGCACTTATTTTACTGAGCTATTTCCATAGCCTCTCTTTTTTATTTTATTTATTTATTTTTGTGGAACCTGGGATTGAACTCAGACCCTTGCACTTGTCAGGCAAGTGCTTATTCTACTGAGCCATCTCCCTGGCCCCTCTTTTTTAAAATATTAGTTAATTAATTAATCTATTTATTTGTACTCTCACTACATAGTTCAGGCTGGCCTTAACTTGAAGAAATCTTCCTGCCTCCGCCTTCCAAGTACTTGGATAATAGGTATATGCACCATGCCTGGCCACAATGGCTATGTCTTAAAAACTTTTGTCCAACAACATCTGAAAAAAAAAAAAAAAAACCTCAATTTAGCTGTGCTTCTGGGATTTGCACCTTTAATTCAGCCCGCAAATGATGATGAAGGAGACTATTAGGGTATGCATGTGAAGGAGTTCTTGGAGTCAAATGAACAAGAAAATATGTCCCTTTGTCAAGGCAAGCACTCTTGACTCTACCAGAACCAACCACATCTCCCTGTGTCCAACATTACGTCCTAATCCTAGCTACCATTAGGGGTGATGGTGCACTTTGTAATTTCAGCACTGGGGAGGCTGGGGCAGGGGTCTAGCTGCGAGTTCAAGACCAGCCTTGGCTACAGAATGAGCTCAAGTCCAGCCTGAACTCCTTAATAGTGAGACCAATAACAACAACCCACCAAATACACACCCACGACTCCCAGAAGAATAATTAAACTCATTGTTTTGGTTATTAGATCCTTGGTCTGGCTTCAGCCCTGCTTGCTGACCATGTACCATGCCCCCATTTCTAGCCATACCAGCCTTCTGTCTGTTATCCAAAGCCTACTTCTGTCTGAGAGGGTTTTATAATAGCTGTGCTCTATGAGAAAAGCTTTCCCCCCACACATCCTAGATCCTTGTCACCTGGGTCTCTTTTCAGATATGACCTACCCAAAGAATCCTGTGTTTTCTATGCTGTCCTAAGGTTCCCTCTGGGCGCACTCAGAATATAATCATTTGTTTTACTGTATTCTCTCCCTGCTAGTTATCACTACTAGTAACTGACATGCAATTGTTTATAATTTACTGCCTGCCACTCCACATACACAAAACTGAGATACACAGTCCACAGAGCAAGTATCTTATCTGTTGTGGCCGCTGCTCCTAGGGCAGCGTGGCACACACAGGTAGTGGCTCTCAATAAATACTTGTTCAATGAGTGCACAGAAAGGAAGGGGTTGAGCAAGGAGTTGCTTCTCCTGAGGGCCACACGAGGGCGCTGCTCCCCAGGGCTCGTATTGCTAGAGAGCTCCCTTGGGCCAAGGGAACTGCGTTAGTTCCCAGGCCAGGGCACTGGAGATAGGGAGATGACGGAGGGATCTTTGATTGTTCTTGCCTTGCCTGGCCCATCCAAGATTGGCTTAGAAAAGAGGAGGGGAGCGCAGTGGGTGGGGAAGGCAGGGACAGACAGTTCATTTGAATGTCAATTAAGTCCCCCCACTGGATACCAGGGACTCCTACCCAGAGAAAATGGGATGAAGGTGGGCCTTCCGTCTAACTTCAGCTTTGCTCCAACCATGTCCTAGGACAACAATTAGTGGAGAAGGGAAGGGTACTGACTGTGAAACAGGGGTTGGTTTCAGTTTCAGGAAGAACAGAAACTGGCCCAGGGCTTGAAAAGGCCAAGGAAGGCCTGGCCTTTAAGAATGTGTCCCAACTTTATAAGCAAGTGACTCAAGACAGCCAAAAAGGGATGGGAGCAAAGACTTGACATGAACACACACACACACACACACACACACACACACTCCAACTCTTGCCAAAATTCAGAGGGTCTTTCTCTGTCTTCTGAGGGTCTCCAGTGACTCTGGTTCTGGAGGTGTCTGTAGCAGGCCACGGTGTCTCTACTCTGTCCAGGCCTCGCTTCCACCTTGGGGCCTGGGTGCTCTGCGCTGGGCAGGCTGATGAAGGGTACGAGTTGGAACCTGGGTCTGCCGTGGGCCCCAGTGGTCTTCCAGATAGAGCCTGCTGAGTACACGAGGAGTCCTCATTGTGGACACTGGAATTCAAAGACTGGGCTCCCATCCTGGCTCGGTGGTAGACTTGTTGCGGCCCTTAAGCAAAGCCCTTTTCTCTGAGCTTTGCTCTGTGTAGTTTTCCTCCACATACATGAAGTCAGCTGAGTAGATCATTTCTAGAGCTCAAAATCTACTTTCACGCAGGGGACAGAGCTGGGAGAGAGTGGCCTTACCAACACAGGTGTGACTCCAGTGTGGCCACTTTCTAATGAGCAAAAAACAGATTTATTCTTGCCCAGTCTGAGTTTTGTTTCTTGTTTGCCTCAGCCTCCTGAGTGTTGGGATTATAAGTGTGTGCCAGAAGAGACCTAGAATAGCAAAGGCAATTCTGGTCAAAGGCAAGACACCACAATCTCTGACTTAAAAATTATACTATAAAGCCACTGTGATAAAAACAGCATAGTATTGGAAAAAAAAAAAAAAAGCAGAACCAAAGATCAATTGAACAGATTAGAATATCCAGAAGTAGACGAAGTTTCCACAGTTGCTGGCTCTGCCACCTACCAGCTATGTCTGCGACAAGAGATGCCAGCCTTCCTGTCCTTTTCCGCAGCCTTCAGCAGTGATAGCAGGATCTGATACAACAGATTGTTTCTAGAACGATGCGCCATGCACAGAAGCTCACAGGGAGGTGAAGGAAATGGTGACGCGGTGTTCTGAGCACGCACAAAGGCAGCGCTCAGCTAACAGCGCCCTCTGCTCACTGCCCCGGCGCCTTCGGACAGCCGCCTGGAGGACCATCCTACTGCACCTCCGGGCTCGCAGCTAAGGTCACAGAGAGAGCACAGAGACGCAGGTGTGGCACTGGAGCCAGCAGGAGCCCAGAGTGTTTCCACCGCGCTCCCAGCTGTGCCTGCAGAGGAGGGACGCAGGAAGAAGTCACGTGCTGAAAGTCACCTGCAGCAGAGCTAGGAGCAGCGACTCGAACCCAGACCTCCGCAGTAAGCGCCTGAGACTCAAACACTCAGCTCGTCTCAGCCTTCTCAGGGCACTCGGCAGCGTGATCTTCCTAGGCTGCCCCAGGGACCTGGCATCCACTGCACTCAGGGGACCCAGGTCCTGGGTTACAGCACAGAAGACCCCAAGGGTGTGCCTCATCTGGGGCACCTGAGACGCGGGACTGGGAGATGACGCCACCTACTGGTTCCCGTTGCCCCTGGGGGTGCATCAACCCCGAAGCTGCTCCCTACCACTAATACCCTCTGTAGCCAAGACAATGAATAAGGTTTTTCCAAACCAATGTGGGAATGGTCTCCTCATGGAGTTTACTCAAAGTGACAAAACAATTCTTCCAACATGATAGATCGACATTACAAAAGCAAACAGCTGGTAGCTAAAAGAAATGAGGACATACATGCACTGGGACACACATGGTGGAAATTACTAGAAAGCCTATTAGCAAAAAACTGGGTGAACATTTTACCCACATGAAATACTACACGGCAATGAAAAAGAACAGGCTATTAAGACATACAGCAACTTGGATGACTCTCACAGACATTAAATGGAGTGAAAGAAGCCAGACTCACAAAAGCGGGAACACGGAAGGAAGTTGAGAACAAACAAAACCACCTGGAGGTGAAAGAAACCAGTACCGTGGTCTCCTCAGGGGCTGAGCAGTGGCTGGGAAAGGGTACAACATGCTTAGACCCACACTCATCTGTATGTATAGAATGTGGGGGCTTTTCCAAATAGAAAAGATACCTCAGTAAAAGTAAGTAAATAAAAAGCCTTGAAAACAATGAGAAAAAAAAAGAATATCCAGAAATAACTCCAGATATATTCAGCCACTTTAGCTTTGACAAAGGTGTCAAACACATTTACTAGAAGAAAGCCTTTTTAATAAATGGTGCTGGAAAAATGGGCTCTGCACATGTTGAAGATTAAAATTTGACTGATGTTTTCCACTGTGCCCTAAAATAAATTTGAAATGAACCAAAGATCTAAGTATTTAAACAGAAACATTAAATCTGCTGGAAGATAGAATATATAAAACTTCTTCTTTTTGAGAAGGGTCTCCCTATGCAGTTCAGGATGGCCTTGAGCTCACTTTGTAGCCCAGGCTGGCCTTGAACATGCAGTGATCCTCCTGTCTTAGCCTCCTGAGTGCTGGGATTATAGGCATACACCACCACACCCAACTGAATATGTAAAACTTGAAGATACTGGTGTAAAAAATGACTTTAGGAACAAAATCCCAATCACAGAGGAACTATCATATCAGAAAGAATCAACAACTGGGATCTCATCTTACTAAAAAGCTTTTGCACAGCAAGAGAAACCACCAATAGAGCCAAGAGACAACCTACTGTGTGGGAAAAAATGTTTGCCAGCTGTTCCT